ATATAGGACAGTTTAGTCTTACTCTACAATCCCCTCGCGAGTGTTTTTTATCTTTCCACTTTCCAGTATCATATGACTCCGTACACTGACTAGACGTGAAACCAGCCGCCCAAAAATCGTTTGTTTTCTGAATTTCTGAATCAAATTCATCTTTATAGAGTACAGCATTCTCAGGGAATGCGTGTAAGAGAGTATAACTTGAAAGGTGGTGGGAAATTGATGAGGAGGTAGCTTTTGAGGGGTGATTTAAAAGGGGGTGTCAGCTAAGATGTGTACAGACTATAACGTTGGATTTGTTTAAGCAGGGGTCTGAAAGTAGGGCCCATGGTCGACTCGTTCACTTAGAAACAAATGCACGAGTAATATTTGAAAATTCAAATCAGATTATTCTTTATCAGTTGCAAAACAAATATAAACACGATCCCAAACGTTTGTAGGATGAAAATAATAAACAAAAACTCAAACAATATTCATCCAAATCTTGAATGTGAAAATTTTAGCGATTATTTTAGTAATTATATGGAACAGACATTTCAAACGCATTAAAGAAGACACAACAGACCTAAAATTGTAGGCTATTCACACACTAAGTTTTACGACACTTGTAACTGGCGATATTGAAAAAAAAAAACTGTCATAGCTTATAACCACCGCTAGCCACCGTATCGCTACGTGCCGAGAGCCAAGATAATGTAATAAGGAAGGTAGCCGCAGGAGACAAAAGTAAAATAGTTGCAAATATACTTTAATATAAAAACAATATTGAGGAGTACACTGATTAGGACTGATGTATTGTCTCTAAAATCAATACTCGAACTGATTTCCTAACTAAACGCAGGTACATAGGCCTATACACAGGGACAGGAAACAGGGATTGATGACTCATTTAATTAGTAATGCCGGGTCATCATAATTTGGGAACACATGCTTTAATGTAGTGGTGGCAACTTTCTGGAGGAATAGTAGGACAACAACCTCAGGAATGTATTAGGCCTACAGTTAGTCAAATATTGCAACACTACTACAGGTATGCTCAGCTGGGGAAATATAGGGGTGAATGTTTAATAGATCTTCTTGTGAATGCTGGGGCGGATGCAAGATTTGAGATTTGGCGGTAGGGGACCACACCACCTCAGCCTCACCATGGTTGGGGTTGAGGTGGGAACATTAACTTTTAGAAATTGCACTCTCATACCTTAAAAATCATACCGGTAATTCATATCAATAATACAAGAGGCCTACAACAATTATTTTTTTAATACAATTGGGGGGGGGGGGGGGGTGCGATCGCACCATCTGCATCCCCAGGGATGCTATACATGAGTTCATACTTCCGAAAGGTCCACTGATTAATCTCAGATAAGAAAGTATAATACATACTCCAAGTATTGAAATACACGCCATCGTGTTGGGATTCAATATTTCGACATTAATTATGTCATCATCAGGAATGAGTTCATACTTTGTTTAGCATATTGGTATATTACTCAACGATTCGATTTTCGTGTATAGTGGTGAGAAAGGCCGGGACGTGAACGCTCCTTTCCTGGCACCTTGGCTGGAAGGAAGCAAATAGTGAAATGTCACCCCTAAATCAATCGGAATTGGCATACGACGGGGAAGGTAGTGTCTTGTATCGATTATGCAATTTCAGTTTTGGGAAACACATCCAGAATTTTGATTACAAAAACACATGTTGTGGCAAAAGCATTAATTCGAAAGCCAAGTTCATGTTTAATGTACAAATGCAGTATGGCGCATGCCCTCCCCTCCCCCTTCTCGTTAATATAACGAAATTGAAATGGTTTTCGATCAACATGCTCAAACACGTCACTTTGAATGTTGTTGCACTAATTGTGGTGCCATAGGCGGAATTTAGGCCTTATCCGGGGGAGGGGTATGGTTCGGGAGAACTCCCTTTTCCAGCAAACCCTCTTTTCTGGCGAAACCCCCTCTTTAAATTTCCTAAATAAGTCCTCCAATACAACTAATGCACTGCAGACCCACCCAGACATTTTTCAAACATATCTGCTTTTATAGCATTATTTAGATCCATAAAGCACAAAAATCCTCTTGTTTTGGGGGTTTCGCCGACCCCACCGGGGCTGCGACTGTGGACCTCACGCCCAGAAAACCCCGCTTGGAAGAAGCGGCCTGGAATTACCTAAATGAAAGTTTGAAAAGTTCCAAGTCACGGGTCTGAGGATGTGTAATTCCCTTTTAGTGCATGCATGTACAGTACTACAAAAGCTTCAAAAACCAACCCACACAACGCCCTCTACAGAATCTAACTAAAAAAACTCCCCCTTTTAAAGCTAATCACAATACAGTATCTATTACAACACATTATGTTCACTTGCATGAATTGATTTTCACAAAGGACCTGCAATATTGAACGATGAGCCTACTGTATGAATATTCATATTGTCTAACATAGATTTATCCTTTTACAAAGTAGTCTTTTTTTACCACTGCACCAGTATTCTTCCTACAAGTTGCTTGAATATTAATTATAATATAAAAGGCTAAAGGTTACAATGGATTGGTATGAGACAATTGAAAAATTGAAATTTCAGATAATTAAACACCATATTAACGTTAAATACATAATTTACAACGTTTATGTAGCAACTCGCCAAAACCTGTCACTAAACTGAGTGGCAGTCACCAAAGCATGCGTTGTAAGAATGGAGAAGCATGAGGTTAGCACTTCTCCATGACAACATACTTGGCGGTTTGCACACCCCAAGGCAAGGGCTGGTTAAATAACAATTTGGTTGCACTGCCGCTGAGTTTTACTTCTAGAATCACTGAAATCAAATGCGATTGTCCTTTAATTAATAAGTATGGCACTACTTGAACAGGTTTTTAAGTTTAGTGTGAATGTTTAGTAAAAGGTTACTGTGTATGTACTGTACATATTTATATATTGATGAATCACATTTGGCACATACTAACTGTTTTCCCCTTGATTTCGATTTCTTAAAATTAAATGTATACATAGTCGTAAAGTTTAGTTAGGGGAGGGATCTCGCATGTACCCTTGGGTTTATCAAGACTCCTTTTTATCATTTTGACATTCCAATTATAATTCTTTATTTGCAAAATGTATTGAGATATGAAATGATAAATATTTTTGTGTTGTATTATATTACTAAGGTAAAAATAGTATATTTATTTATTGCACATCCAACAGTGTATACACCAATTACAGGATGGAAATATAAAATATATTAAAAAGTATAAAACTTACACAGTATTAGTAAAAAGCCAAAATTATAAAAAAAAAACAAACAATAAAGATTAAAAACAAAAAAAAAAAAAAACAATAAAGATTATTTAAAAGACTCGAATGTAATAGACTTAAACTTAGAAGAACTACAATGAAAAATATCAAATTCAAGATTATCACAAACACAATTATTATAAAGTGAAGACAATCTAAAAATATACCATTTTTACAAACATTAACACATGAAAATTGTACATTTAAAATAGGTTTAGAACAAAGTCTACGAACAGGGACACTAAGGAGAAAAAATAGGAATTTTTGCCAGGCCAACAGGTTACGTTTCTGGGCCGAGAAAACATAAAAACTTATTGTGGATTCTTTCAATTCTAGAAGATTGTGTCAGATATTGAATTATAAATAACTGAACAAAAATCAAATAAAGGTTGTATAAGGAATTTATAACAAAATTCATTATAGAAAAAATAGCAATAACATCACTATTTATTTTATAGTGGTCTTTAATTGGAGGGAAAAGCTTATGTAAAAAGATAGCAATTGAAACGAGATCACAGAAGAGTGGAGGGTTCTTTTATTTGAAGGAGACCTGCACACATATTTTAAATATAATCAATATTAGATTTATGCATGAGATTTTGGCCCCCAAGTGCGAGATAGATCTCGAATGTGTGAGTCTCACGCTGAATGGTGGTAGGTCTGAAATACAACACCAATGTTCGACTCTGCAGTGTTTCACTGACAGGCCCAACTTCAAAATTTTGGGATTGTATGTAAAGATAAATACAAATGATATAGCCCTGAATTTTCTAGATTTAGAAAACTCAAGGCCCATAAACATGTAACCTGTTGATTGAAACAATTCATTACACAAATAGGTATAACTCAATGACTTGTGGATAATTGAGCCAATCAAGGACTTAACTATGTCAGCAAGTCAAATTTCTGAATAGTGACAATTTATTGAGATTGATATAATTCACTACTAGCCCTTGGTATTCCAAAATATTTATAGACAATAATTAAATTATCCATCCGAAGTCAGGTCTTTTCTTAATCTTTTATAGAATGATTCAGGTAAAGTAGTAGCAAAATAAATATTTGTCTGTAAACTTTTTAGTGTTATTCTGTTTTCAGTGATGGAGGGGGGTTGTATAACTAAATGATTAATTGATTGATCAACGTTCAATTGATCTATTTATATAGTAATGCGTTAATTAAAGTTTTTATATGGATTTGAAAGATACAGCAAATAATTAAGCAACCGAAGTATGCCAATGACCATTAATGTTAGGAATGGCATGATTATGATTCTGATTTTTAAGTTTGTTTTGTAATGTACAGTAAATAAAATGTGCTCTTTGTAGGTTTCAATTAATTTGTTTAATAAAGTTTTGCAGAAACCTGAACACACTTCTGCATCTTGATGTGTTTAAATCCTTCCATCATTGTACACATTCTTTTCACAATTATAGATGTTAAATTAAAAAAAAATACCAGATTAAACCAATACAAAAATGACAATGAACTAGGAAATGCCAACATTTATTTACACTGACTTCTTATCATTTTCAATGTAATAAACAACTTAATTGTAACATTGCTTATAGGCTGGTTACATTCATGTACAAATTATTTCTCCATCTTTAGCCCTTGTTCCTTTTTTTAAAAATCTTGGATCATATCTATGGTATTTAGTGAAACGGTGTGCTAAAAATATTTGGTCTAAAGGCCCACAGCTCTCACAACAATTGTGACAGGCGCTTTTAACTTTCGTAATCAGAGGCCTGCCTACAATTCTCCATTAACAAATGATGCACAGTTCTGATTGCAAAGCAATTCACTTCAATACTTAATAGTATTCAATGGCAGGAAAAATAAACTTCCCTCAGCTAAGGTAATCATGGAGTAATAAATAAGTACTACATGGTGTAACAGTATACAACTTGCTGACAACTTCGCTTGTTTCATGAAAAATTATGCACTCATCTGCTGAACAGATAGCACATAATCACTTTCCTGTAGATAATTCTGATTAGTAGGCAAAAACGCACCAGCCTTTTATTGCAGTCTATTGTGGTACATTTGTTCATTTATTAATGTCTGGTGTGCTGAGCCCATATTTGGCTTTCATCATGTCTAATTCCACTTGCTTCTTTGCTTGGTCCATTTTCTTGAATGCCTGGAAAAAAATTATTCAAAAATATTAGGCCAGTAATATACACTTTTTATATGAAAAGAACGATAAACTACAATTCTGAAAGATGATTTTCTTTTTTCTTGATAAAACCAATAACAACAATAAATAGTTACATAGATTAATATTGGTAGTTTATTAAATCCATCATACTGTACATTCTAAAAAGTACAAAAACAAAAAAACAAAAAAACAAACAAAAAAAACCCACATTTTTCTGGCCATATGTGACTGTAGAACAAGAGTTTAAAACAAAACTACTTAAGCATTCACCAAACAATAAATATACAAACTGAATATTAACATGATGTGGTATTCAATAAACATTTACTGTATCATATCAACAAATCAGTGAAAAACGAAGATAAAATAAATAGAAGTCACACAATTTGTTTTCCTTCTAATTTTCACATTATAAGCATGAGAGATATGTTGACTAATGGGCAGGTAGCACAAGCTTTAAACAATACCCGACAAAACAAAAGTTGTATCCACATCATTGCTGGCAGATCTAGCAAATGAGTAAATGACCTATCCTGAGACTTCCACTTGCTGACTCTAAATAACTATGTAACCTATGACACACAAATCCTTCTTACCCTTGTAGCTTGGTAGTACAACACAATCAAATATCTTCCACAGACATTGAAACCAGAAAGATGGTCACATGCATTTTTAGCATCAAAAATGTCTTCATAAACTACATAAGCAGTCCCCCTTGTGTCAGCTTGGTTACCACTGTTGAAGATAAAAACAAATGTAATGCTTTCCTTATCAATATTTAAGTTGTGCTTGTGCAATACCATATTAAAATGTTAGTATTAAATAATAACCACAAAACGTCTGGTACAATTAGACTAACATATGAATATTTATACTGGGTAAAAATATACAGTTTTTGCAAATGTCAATTACACAAATTTAATGCATTTTTAAGATTGAATATATGCACCATATTTAATAAATCTTAATGTACTGTTTACTTCACACAATCATATTAGTGAAATTTACGATTTTCTATGAATTCAACACCAGCATGATCCTGAATATGTATTTAACAGATTATACTCTCCTCTGTGAATGCCACAAAACGTCTGGTACAATGAGTCTAATGAATATTTATAGCAAGTTACTTAATTTATAAAGCTTCTGTAATGCTTTCTTTTAAATTGTATTTATTATTTTAAGACACCATTGTTTAATAATTATGAACTTAAATATTACATTAAATTTACATAATCAAAAAAGTCAAATTTTAGGTTTTTACAAATTCAACACCATGTAAATGCAGATTGTGTTTACAACAGTTATAAAGTACTTTGATTATTAAACATTTTTGATGTGTTGTAAGAAAGGAGAGCAGGTTAGCACTCCCCTTGACAAGGACGGAAGACACCCTACGGTGTTTAACACATAAATGGTTAAGGCATTGCCGCCTACTTTGCGGCATCTAACCACGTTTTTTTTTTAACTCTTTGCATACAATATTTTTATTTTGCATAAAATTATATCCCCTGTGAATGTTAGTATTCATATGTTAACTACTAAGGTGATTTTGTCACCAACACCACAAAGAGATGACCACTGTATTTTAGGCCCATGACCGAAATTGGCAATATTAGTCATTTATACGGCTTGGGAGTGAAGTTGTTTTGGACATGATAAAACTTCCCTTTCACAACCCTGGGACAGAAGGCAAGCATATTAAACACTGAGCTACAAATCCACTCCTATACAATTTCAACCATTTCAGGAAAAACAAGTCAAAAGCAGACTGCTTCACAAAATTGTAAATATTGCCATAAAGAAATCTAAAATGGGAATTTTTCATTAGATTTTGGCATTGAATATAGTTCTATTTATTTTCCCCTTATTATTGGTGATTTGCTTCACGAGCAGATCACCTCTTGTTATTGTCAGAGATTACCTTCTTCTTTTTATTCTTTCTTTCCCTCCATTATTTGTGCGCACGATATCTCAAAATTGCCAAGAGCTACGTACAGTACATGTGCGCTTGGCCTGGAATAGTCAAAATAAGCTTTTCAATGTGCTCAGACATGGCGTCATCTAAGCGCAATTTCGCTTTTTTACATTACTGATCATATCTTCCTAGCCAATTGTCATTTCTAAATCATATTCAGTGGACATAAACTTCAGGTCAAGGTTGAATGTCATGTACCACTACGCGCACACATTTCTATGCACACAGCACGTACGGAAGCTAGAAATTACGTTTTTTTTACATATTTTGGGTTCCTGACAGTGACATTGTATTCACAAATTTCCATTCTTTTCAGTCATCTTAGGGCCAATAGCAATGCTGTACGCACGCATCAAACATAGAAATCCTTGCGCATGTTTGTGCCAACATACAGTGAAAAGATGCTAAAATTAGGCCTATTTTTAATCAGTTATAGCTCCTCAGGATGAAAGGTGACCCCCAATCTTTATTACATATTCTGAAAGCACATGAGTTTTAGATATGATTTTATAGATTATAATGGATGATCGGACATTGTGACATCATATTGCCATCTGAATTTTTTTAAATCTTGAATTTTATCTGTGACGTCATTTTTGAAAATACGCATTTGAGCATATCTCGCTTATCCTTGATCGATCGTCTCCCAACTTTAAGTACTGTATGTTATAGCTGAGACAATTACCTTTCATAAACGTGACTTTTACATTTTGTTGATGTCATCATGGTCAAAATAAATGTTTTTTCTGACACCCTCATCTTTCTTTCCTTAAATTTTTGATGACCCCCATCACCCTAACCAGTCGTCATTTCTGAATCATATTCAGTGGGCATAAACTTCAGGTCAAGGTTGAGTGTCATGTACCTTAATTTTCTGTGCCCGCATCATAAAACACATGAGTTTTAGATATGATTTTATAGATCACTATGGATGAATTTCATTGTGACGTCATCATATTGCCATGCTAATTAAATAAAAACTTTATTTTTATTTATAACGTCATAATAACTTGAACGTATCTCGCTTATTGTTGATCGATCGTCTCCAACCCTTGAGTATATTATATATTAGCTGAGACAGTTTGCTTTCACAATTATGGCATTCATTTTTCACTTTTGATGATGTCATCACGGTCAAAATTAATGTTTTTCTGACCCCTCCCCCACCTCTTTCTTTCTTCAGTTTTTTCAGAATCCCAAAGAGAGGGCGGCAGACTTGATATTGTCCTGCACTTTCTGAAAATCCTGGCTACGGTAGTTTCCCATAAGGCCAAGTAAAAAAAAATAATTGGTTAGCATCCTTTTGGTATCAAATTTCATGGTAGGGAGGGAGGTTTTTTTTTTTTTTTTCTCGTCGAACATGAAAAACCAGCGTCGGAAGGAAAATTAGCAAAACAAAGAAGAGGAAAACAACAGAGGCCAAAATTTGATACAAGAGATCATGTAATTCATCTATAGCAAGCAGATAAGCTTTGCCTATATGTTGACATATTGAAATCCCTATATATGAAGTTTTAAAACATGCAACATTGTATATGTTTACAGAACTGATGATATCGATAACAGGTTTATAAAGCATTCCATCCTAAGTGGCGAGTGTAATTGCTGTTGGATGTGAAATTAAAAATAAAAATAACAACAGCAAAATAAGAAGATTGAAGTTTGTCATAGTCCTATAATAATTCATTATTGTCCATTCATAAACAGAAACGTAATTTTTGAACTGGCATTTTGTACAATTGATTACTATTTGTGATTGTTTATGTGAATGAGTATGTACATTATAGTGATAATACTCAATTAGTGAATACTGTTAATGAGTTTGACTAGTATCATGTGCTATGTTTATGCTGAGAAACACTCTGACATCTAGTTGGACCAGCTGTTTGGAAACATCACGTCACTGGACCATACTGAGTTTGTTGTTGGAACAACACAACAGTCATCATAGATGCCATGCAGGGGTTTCGCAAGAAAAACATATAGACGGCCTATTTTGTTTTTCCAAAATGGAAGCCAGTGGGCGTGGCAATGAGCCGATGGCGGGCCACGCCCATCGTTAGTAATCCCCACCGATTATTGGTACGAAAACGTACATTCAATCAATAAATGTTGTTTTTATCAAACGTAAATATGATTATCATCGTTATCATCATCCTCCTCCTCATTCTTCATCATTTTCTTCATCATCATCATATTCATCCATCATCATCATCAATGGCATAGCCAGCTATTGGCACAGTTGGGACAGTCTTACACCATTTTTCCAATGGGTCCACAAAAAAATGGTCCACATTTAAAAAAAAAGTCCAAATTATGTAATATAATGCATAAAATGGATCCAGATACCTTATATTTAGTTAAATATGGGTAAAATTTAAGAAAATGGGTCCAGATATTTCATAATTTGCGTCCACTTTGTTTGAATTTACACGTAAAGTGGGTCCGCTCTGATATTGTCCCACACCGTTTGAAAAACCTGGCTGGCATTGATCCTCATCCATCATCGTCACCCTCATCACCATCCTCACCAATCATTGTTAACATCATCACCATCACCTTCATCCTACTAATCATCCTCATCCATCATCATCCTTATTCTCATCATCATCAACCTCCTTATCCTACTTATCATCATCACTCATTCATCATCATAGTCCTCATTATCATCATCATTGTCATTATCATCCTCATCATCATCCTCATTACAATCATCATCTATCATCATCATCCATCATCATTCTTGTCCTCATCATCAACCACATCATCATCATCCTTATTAATCATCATTATCAATCATCATCCTCATCATGAGGATGATAATGAAGAGGATGAGGACGACAAGAATGAAGATGAGGATTAGGAGTAGACGGGATGTTTCTCATCATTCGTCATCATTAACCTCATCAACATCATTCTCATCAATCATCCTCATCATTATCACGATCACCCTCATCAACGACCATTATCATCAATCATAATCATCATCATCCTTATTTTCATCATCATCAAACTCATCATCCTAATCCTTCTTATTATCATCATTATCCTCAACATCCTTATCAGCATCATTTTCTTCCTCATCATCATCCATCATTAATCATCATCTACCTCATCATCTTCCTTCTCCTCATCAGCCGCATCATCCTCCTCATCATCATTCTTATCTTAATCACCATAATCATAATCATCATTACCATCATCCTCATTATCATCATCATCATCATCATTACCATCATCATTTTCATCATTATCCTCTTCATCACCAGTCACTACCATCATCATGAGGATGATGAAGATCAGGACGACGAGAATGAAGATAAGGACAAGGGTGAGGATGAGAGGGATGATTCTCATCATTCATCATCATCATTATCATTCTCATCAATCATTTTCTATCTTTCTCATCACCATCATCACAATCATAAATTATCATAAACAACCATTATCATCAATCATAATCACCATCATCATCTTCTTCCTCACCATCATCCTCATCATATTTCCTCTCCTCGTCATCATCAACGTCCTCCTTATAATGGAGAATATAATGAGGATGGGGATGACAATAAGGAAGATGATGATGATAATAATAATAATGACATCAG